ATTAAGAAGTGGTCCCACGTTCCTCAAAAGATCCCGATCAGAGGCCTTGCTGCCTGGTGTAGTTTATCGTCATAATCAGGACTGTATGTGCGTGTGTGCAGACACATTATCAACCAAATCCCGCATAGATAGACTATAATTATTTTTTATTTGTTTTTATTCTCTGAATCAATAGCTCTTTTGTTAATTTTTGACAATAAATGGGAGAATAAAGTCTTTGCCATATTCTTCGACTTTCCGTTCCTGAACAGTCAAATTTATTCTGGCACTGCAATCATATATGAGTATGTGCAATGTTTGAAATAAACTCTTAATTAATGCGATACTCTATGGCACCAAAATTTCTTGAGTGCGCATAAATATCTTCGGAATGTTTGTGCGAAATTTCCCGTCGGATATATTTGAATACAGCCTGCAGGTGTCGAAAATAAAGTTAAAAATGACAGGTTAAGAAATGTCAAGGTAGAAATAAAAAAAAGGTATAAATTCCACAATGTGATAAATGTAAGAAATGGGTAAAGGCGAGAACGGAGGTGCCAAAGTTAAATTAATTCTATGCATCTGCACGTCAGTTTAAAGTATGTATCGATATACATATTTGTACGAGAGAGTACTGAAAGGGTCTCGACCTAACCAAGAAATCCTTACCATCGAAAATCTTTGCTCATTGGGTCAGATTTTTGAAAGTGGGTCTAGTCGAGAATATTTCAGCACCCCGTCGTATCAGTGTTTCAATCTAACCCCAAAATTCCATCGAAATACAAACACATACACGAACATATTCACAGCGCAATCACGCACACACACACATATATACATATATGCACTCACACACACACACACAGAGACACACACACACACACACATATATATATATATATATATATATATATATATATATATATATATATAAATAAAGTAGCGAACATTCAGTGCTTGTGCTAATAAAACAATGCTCAAAGAATAATAGCCTACAATTAATAAATAAATATTTTGTACGCTACCGTGTGACACAACAATGAGTTTCATATACGTGGCAATCGTTAGGCACGATATATATATATATATATATATATATATATATATATATATATATATATAAATATTCTTAAAATATTGTCATTTAGCTGATAGATGCTATGTTCAACACCTCGATTCTGGATATTCGTAGACGAATATTTTGTAATCCTTCTGTCTACTCGTCAGAACTTATCAACAATTGACCTGTCTACTTTCTCATATATATATATATATATATATATATATATATATATATATATATTAAAGTGTTAATATTAAATAAATATAAAATATAACTACTATATATACGTGTGATAACGTACATATACAGATGCGCAATAAATATTTATTTAAGGTGTAAACAAAACAATGCCCAATGTAGTTAAACAGCGCTATAAAGTATAAATTAATAAATACACATATACCTACGTTTGTAGTGCTATTCTGAGTTTCATGGTTGCCCAATTCATCAGACAGAAATGGTAAATGAAATATTTAATACAGTTGTTTTTTTTTTCTGGGTCTCATGGGTGAAATGCTATATTATATACAGACTGAAAGTTCAACGTTATAAATTTAATATAAGATTGGGGTATAAATTCAAAATATATTGTTGGTATGTATATTTTTAAAAAAAGACCTGATATATGATATAAACTTATATGGTATATATTTTTATGTGTTGTATTGTTGTTCGGTACGGTAATTTACAAGTAATCTCTTTGTCTCAAGGAATACTGTACTGTATATAGATCACACGTTTAATATTATAAAATAAGCTAAAAATAAACAAAAAAAAAAATAACTGTTGGTAGACGAAAAAGATGAGCTGATAAGAAAAAGTAAAAGAAATTAATACCTGACGATTGCTACGCCCATGAAATTCAGAGTTATAATAAACAGTGAAGGACAATGTATATTTATATTTATTATTATTATTATTATATATATATATATATATATATATATATATATATATATATATATATATATATATATATATATATGTGTGTGTGTGTGTGTGTGTGTGTGAGGCACCATATTTTCATTCAAGCCTGTTTCATTGAATAGTAAAGTCATATTTATTTTTATAATAATCCTTTCTAGTTCTCTAATTATCTTCTTGGTGTTAAGTTGAAATTCATCAAGGAGGCACCGTATTTCTTGTTAACGCAAGTACTTTCGATTTCCTTCGAGATCATCCTCAGGGGTAAAATGCGAAGACAAACTTAATGCAATTGTGACAATTCGTCCATGATGCTAGAGTCTATAAGGGGGTGTTAACTATCTGCCAATATATGTTGAACCTTCCCACCATTAACCCGTAATGTTTGATCCGTCGCTTCAGATAGACTGGTAGCCTGGCAAAATATTGTCTGGCATGAATGCGCTTTCGAAACAGGGCATGCCATTGATCTCCTAAATGTGGTAGAAATTACAACTATTGGCTTTCATCGATACTTGTTGAACATTTACGGAGTCAAACGTGTAGATGTTAGAAAATATATATTTCAGGACTTGAGGGCATATTGTGTGTTGCCAGCGACCCAACTCCCATTTCCTAGTATTATGAGCGTCTTGAAAATGCATGGTGAAAAAGTATTTTGGTCTTGAAAATAGTATATATTATTCTACTCCCTGTACTGTATTACATTCTGAGCGTCCCGTTTATGTGTCTATGTTTTGGGGGTATATTTTTAAGTTTAACATATGTCCTTGCTTTGAATATTGCTGTCACATTTGGTCTGGTGATCCTGCTATATATTTAGAGATTCTTGATAAAATCCAAAGAAGAATTTGCAATGTTATTGGTTCTGACCTGGCATCTCGGTTTCAGTATCTTTCCCACTGTTGTAACGGAGCTTCCATGTGACTTTTCTATAAGTACTTTCATGGTAATTATTCTGATGAACTTCCCTCAAAACCGTAAGTAGAATTTATGAATCTAAGTGCAGTACTAGATTGGCAGCAAGGTCTCATGAACTTATAGTTGGAACTGCTGTATATAACTATATATTCTATGCTAAAAGTTTCTCCTATCTGATTTCTCGCTTGTGGAACCCTCTTTCGGCTTCTTGCTTCCCAGTCAATTTTGATCTTCAAAAGTTTTAATGCTATGTCAATCGTTATCTTCTATCTTAATTTTTATTCTTTCTTGTCTTTTCTACTTAATAGTAGTTTTTCTCATATTCTCAACACTTGTATCCAAGTAAGATTTATTGTCTTGCTTGGGGTGAAATGCTTAAAAAAATGAGCTGAAATACAATAATTAGTTATATGGGTTTAATTACTCAGTGAGGTCTCTCTTAACATATTTCGACCAAATTCTCACTGAGCGCTACTTATCTTAAACGTCTACTGGGACTAAGGCTCACTCCTGGCCTCAAGTCGTATATACAATCCATCGTTAAAGAGACTGGAAATATAGTTGATTCCATGTAACACCCCAGAAATGGCTTGTCCTTCTGACGTGCTCTACATTTATAAAAAGCTTGATCAGATAAAAAAATGAAATATGTCTATGATATCAGGACTGGAGTTTCCCGAACTTCGCCTCGCCTACCAACTTTTGCAGAGTTCAAAAGCATATACGCCATGCGGGCGATACATTTTCAACCCTACTTCCCATTTCCTCTATACTAAACATTGCTTTCTCTATCGATATTTTTATGATAGATGTTCATAACAGTTACATTAATTAGCTTCATCAATTCAGACCTTCACAGCAAGGAACAGCCTTGACACGCATACAGGGTCTATTCATCCTCATTCCATCGTATTCCATTGGTGAGGGAGAAGTACGCTCTGACAGCTTCTTTCCTGAAAGTAGGGTGATCTTAACCTTTTGAGACAAGCGTTATCTAGCCTACATATCCTCATTATATGGGCATTACTTTGGCAGGCTTAAATAATTTAATTTAGGTAACTCTAACTTGAGTGGCTCTTAGAACATGAATTGAATAAACATGTTGGGAAATTTATTTGCGTTTAATTACTAAGTATTTCATTACGGTGTAGTAATGCATAATGGCTCGGATTGACAAATCGGAGAGCTGAGTTCGAATTCCAGTCGAGTTCATTTCCTTAATGCATTTATATCTACGTGCCAATACCTATTTATACCATCATGTCCAGGCTTGTTCCTGCCTTACAGATGGGTGAGATCAAATTACAGATGACCGGCGGATGCCTTTATATAAATAGTCATGTAAATTAAAAAAAAAAAAAAAAGAATACGTGTGGTAAAGCTTGGACCATTTTTTTGTCTCAAGACTTACTATTTAAAAAATAACAAAAGTAAAACAAACAAACAAAAAAACAAATGGAGCCAAATTTTGTCATACGTATTCTTTCATTCTGTTTGGAACGACCCACATTATAGCCTGAAACAGATAATAGGTTTTCGGACCACCTGGATCACACCTATGGGGCTTTAGGGATTCGTGGATCACACTTTTAGAAACTCTGATCTATGCGATACAACTGCACAGTGGTGATAATTTCAGAGATGGTTGACACCTTAATCTGCTCATGCAATTCAATGATTAATTTTTTTTTAAAGTTGATATTTTGGCATTTGAAGAAGTGAAACATTTTTTCTGATTCTTATACTTTAGTCTGATTATTTAAAATATATTTGGAAACTGTCAGCTCTATACAACCACTTTCTCGGATCAATGACTAAACGTAGCTTCGAGCGAAGGAACTCTGTAGATCTTGGAGTGGACCGTCCTTCTTGGAATCTCGTGGACTGGCGTTAGAAAATCACAACGAATTGTACCAAATAGAAAAAGTCATATCACTTGAAGCCTAAACAGCAACAACTAAAATGTATTGCACATGCAACTCGAATAGACAATAATGACGTAAACAAAATACTGGAATTCTACACATCTCCGAAGAAAAGGTTATGAAGGAAACCTCCATCAATGGTAGAAAATGTGATAATAGTGAATTTGAGAAACTTATTTTCCTCAAAGTGTTTCTTTAATTCGTTCGTTCTTTCTTTCTTTCTTTCTTTTATTTCCCTTCTATTTCTTTCTTTCTTTTATTTCCCTTCTGTTTCTTTCTTTCTTTCTTTTATTTCCCTTCAGTTTCTTTCTTTCTTTTATTTCCCTTCTGTTTCTTTCTTTCTTTCTTTCTTTTATTTCCCTTCTCTTTCTTTCTTTCTTTTATTTCCCTTCTCTTTCTTTCTTTCTTTTTTTCTTTCTTTCTTTCTTTCTTTTTATTTCCTTCTTTCTTTCTTTTATTTCCCTTCTCTTTCTTTCTTTCTTTCTTTCTTTCTTTCTTTCTTTCTTTTCTGTTTCTTTCTTTCTTTCTTTTACTTTTATTGGATTACGACTACATCACGCTGAAACAGCGGTTCCTATACGATCAACGTCGAGCCTGGATGAGTATCTAGATGAGTGATCGTTTGGAAATACCAGGTGCTGTAAGCTTGGATGTGAGGGTGGTGTAATGAATAATTGTTAATCAGAGAGTCGAGTTCTAATT